TTTTCCCCTCAATTACAACATCAAAATAAACATTAAATAAATATAGATAAACGCAGCAAAGGCATTTTAGGAACATTCTCAACATTCAACTTTTACTGTTTCTCTTTATACACGTAATCATTTGTTACATTCAAGCAGTTGTTCAATCGAGTATGGAAGAAATTAAATGCCTAGTAGCTAGATAAACACGCAGTCGCTGCTTAAATGTGTCTCATTCATTGAAAGTCTTGGGTTCACTCTTTGCAGTCATTGGAGTTATATAGTTGTATCATAAGGAGATAATTCGTCAACTGGAAATTGAGAAGTTGGGAAGTAGCCGGATGGGTTAGAATGACATGGCTCTAGAATCTTTCATAATTCAATTGATTAAATTTTGAGACAGACGTCTGTAAAATTCGTTGATTCCATCATGAAAACGTTGTGATAAAAACAAATATAGATTATAACTTTAAATCTTAAGTATTAGTGATGAGAAATGTCTCATCATTAAGATAAAATAAATAAGCTTTTATTCGTGTTTTTCTCATGTTTGCCACGTCATTTTCCTTTGTCGTTTGTTCTTCGTTGTTTGTTTTTTAAAAGCTTTAATCTATTTTTCAACTGATTTGGTTCTTTATTTTGAATCCTCATCTTTTGGTCCGTCATTTTCTTGAGTTCTTTTTTTTTTTATTTTTTTCAATAGCCTCATTATATTTTTCGTCTTAATTCTCACTCAATGTCTTGGGTATGACGGTAAACTCCATCCGGCATCAAGGCCTCTGATTGTGAGGTTCTGAAGAGCGTGAAGCCACCTCTTAATTGCTGGTGCCCCCAGGTCCACTTTGACCCAGGATTGTAGCACATTTTAAGTTCCCATATATGGACAAATAGTGAACCTATGAACTGGGATCAAAACATGAACATATAAAAATATTTTTTCTAGTAAGAATACCAGAAATACATTCACGTGGTAAAAAAAATAATTATTACCAGTAATGCATAACTAGAAAAAGAAAGGAAAAAATACCATCAATTGATTTTGGAAAAAAAAATACCAACTCACCCAAGAAAAATAAATTTCGGCATTAAATGATCCATACGGATCGTTGTTAAACAAACCAAAGGAAAGTATACTCAGCCATTTTTCATTGTTTAATCTGTCACGGTTTTATTTTATTTTATCCTTCATTTTATTTTTTCAGTTCCTATTTTAATTTGAAACTATTAATTAATCTTTCTTCTTTAAAGAAATCTTTCTTCTTCTTATACATTCTTCTTTTAGCACCTTTTCAATTCTTTTATTTCTTTATATTCATTGTCTCTTTTCTTTCCATCTTTTTTTTTCATTTTTTAATTCGTGAGAAGAAATTTAATCCTTTATAACATTATTGACCAAGTATCTTCCTCTACAAATTTCCATGTTTTCTTTTTCATACAAACATTTACATCTCACTAGACTTTTAAAGATTTTATCCGACAACCAATATCGCACATTATTTTCTTTGTATCGCAATTGAATAACTGATCAATAAAAATAAGCTTTTCACAGAATTTTTTTCTTTAGTTAGATAATATCTTCCATTCGTATTTTGTGTTTGTGTTGGTGATGATTTTAGCATTATCGAACATTTAAAATACTTAATGTTTATAAATACTGTGTCAACAATATGTTATGCATATTTGCTCAAGAAAAATTACAGTAATGCTTTTATATAAATTGCAGATAAGTCTTCGTTGTATTCTTTTGATATATGCCGCGTATCCTTTGAGGACATGAGTGATCCGAGCTATCTTTACATTCCGAATTTTTCTAGCTCTTAGTAAGATTTTTCATTTTGTTATCCGTCATAATCCCTGGTCTGCCAACAATCTATCCAATATTTTTTAGGTATGGTATTCGTTGCTTTCCTCTGCTCATCTTGATTTCAGTAAGTTTTCTGAGTTTAGATCCTCCAGGACGAATTAACTCATTATGTGCTGTAAAAATTTAAATTCTCTCTAAGAAGGTTAACTGCTGTCTTTCTTTCTATTTCCATTAAAAGATCAATATTCATATGTTCAGTCCACAATTTATCAGTATCCCTTTTAAGAACCACATTTTTGTTGCCTCAAGTCCTCTTTTTCATTTGTGAAGAGATTGTCCATTTATCCATTTCCTGCCACAACAAATGGTGACGTTTTTACATGATATTTCAGTACACTTTTCTATGTTTATATTGGAATCTTCTTGCTTCATAATACAGTACTTATCTTTCTGCAGGCATCTTGAAATAGTGAAAGGTGCCTTTGGATTTCGGTGTCACATTTTTCGCTCTCTGTGAGAATAATTCTTACTTGCATTTTAATATCTGTTTAATTTTTAAATTTCTGTGATTTAATCGATTTCCAAATTAAATGAATTCCTCCTTCGCTATATTCCCGACAAGTGCCCAACATCAAGCAAATATCTATTGACATGACTTTGCATCTATCTATCTATCTATCTATCTATTTATCTATCTATCTACGTAAATGTCAATGACATAGAAAAAAGTTTTAAGCTCATTACACAGTCATTATTTTCATGAAATAAAACGGAAGTGGGTCGAGAGATACTGATGTATAGCCACTTCTATTCAACGATTACTATATATATATATATATATATATATATATATATATATATATATATATATATATATATATATACTCAAGAACAGGGATGGTACTGATGGAATAAAATTCCGATAATCGTACTATTCTTAAAAGAGTGCTCAATACCGAGAAGAGCAAATAATATTTATTCCAAATTACAACATATGCACATGTTATAGCATCACTACAAAAATTGCAAGTTTGTTTCAACACTGGTGTCTTATCAAGTGATTGTGTTGATTGCAAAACAAAGGGTTTTAATAGTTCAAAAACCAACCAACATAAACCCCTGAGTAGGAGCAACATTGTTATTTTGTTTGCATTCAACATCACCACTTGAAAAGGCACGATTGTGTTGAAACAAAATTTTAACTTTGTAGTGATGTTATAACATGCATATGTTATAATTCTGAATATTTATATGTGTGTGTGTGTGTACATTAGTAAATGAGCTTTTAATGTGTGAATCTCGCTTTTATATACACAGCCATTAATTTAAGTTCTATGGGAAAACAATTTCCGATGTTTACACTTTCCCAATTGATAAGCAAAAGGGTTACTCATCATCTATTTTATAAGGATCACTGATACATAAATCACTATTTGATTGTTTTACTACACGACATTCTAAGAGGATGCCTTGACGAATTGCTTCTGGCGTCCATCTTTGGATGTGTGACTACCAGATAATGAAATTAACATTTTGATTTGTTTACCAGATTAGAGATACATAGAGAAGTATTTTTGTCAAACTTATATCCTATATTAAAAGAAAAACTTCAGATTATTTTTACATATTTAGGTTAGCATTATATTAAAATATATATTCCGCCTTGCACAAATAGGCGATCATGTACTTGATATATAGCTGTTTCAGTTTGATATGCCATAATGGTTTGTGAAAAAGTTAGGGATAGCTGAGCAAATGATTTCCGCATAGCTATATTACCTACCCAGATATAAACGTAAAAACACAACTGATCTGTAGTCTAATAAAATACAAATACACATATATAGAAAAGAAATATATACGCATGTATACGCAATATATATACGCATGTATACAAATGTGTGCTTCAATGCAATGTATTTTATTACTTCGAAAAAATATATTTAATGATGTTTATTGAGTGCCTTGAGGAGGTAGCGCTAATCTGGGAACACAGTCGTGGCTGTTAAACAATTTCTGCAACCACATCTTTTATCTGGCCACCTAACTCCCAAGACTGAAATCCGCTTGATTAGTATATGTGGGGTGCAGTTGACCGAGAAGCCAACAAAACTCCTTGTAACACCAATGAACTGAAGGCATGGATTATGGCAGCATTCCCCAAATTAAATAAGGAGACCGTCCTGAAGAGTTGCAGGAGATTCCGAAATCGGTTGGAGGACGCGGCTGAAGCCAATGGCGATTTTATTCATTAAATTTACTCTTTAATATTTCAAGATATTTTTTGTGTAATTTTGGTAAATATACCTGTTAAAATGAATGCCAGTGTTATTTTTCATTTTTGCGTCATATATATGATAATTTATCCATCGCACCCTGTATTCATAAAAGGATGCAGACTTTCAAGTTATAATTGTTTTTATTTAATTATGTTTGTTTTTGCTGTATAAGTATTGCTTCAAATATCATATGTCTATTTTTACTATTCGTTTTTGTTACTGTTTTGGTATTGTTTTTGAGTAACTGTCTAATGTTACTATGATCCTTATACTGCTTAATAATGTGCTGCTACGTTCCTATAGGTATATGTCATGTCTCCAAGAAAATGTGATTTTGGTATATTTTACATAAGACATTTTGTGATTTTTTTTTATTTACAGATAAACATTTTTGAGAAGGCAAGCAAAATTCCTACAAAATATTGATCTTGTATATTGGGTTAGATGATTTGCATATGTTATTTTAATAATTAGTTTCTACTTAAAATTAATCAACTAAACATTTCTGTCGTTCTTAATAATAATTTACTTCAAAAAAACATTTGTTGTCTAAATACAGAGAATATATATATATATATATATATATATATATATATATATATATACCCAAGAATATAATAGGTATATACGGAATGAATTCCAATAACCAACTATTACTATTCTTAAAAGAGTGCTCAATACAAGTAGAGCGAATATAATTATTTATTTAAAATTTTAACATAAGTATCTTATCAAAATCACTTGATAAGACACTGAGTTTCAAACAAAATGGCTATTTTATCAAGTGATTTTATAAGACACTTATGTTATAATTTTTTTAAAAATAATATATATTCTCTCTCTCTCTCTCTCTCTTCTATATATATATATATATATATATATATATATATATATATATATATATATAGATTGATGTGATGTGTGTATATATATATATATTTAGTTAGATTGATGTGATGTGTATGTATATATATATATATATATATATATATATATATATATATATATATATATATGATAGAATAAAGAACAAATAGGAAATATTTCATCAATCTAACAGGTTTCAGTTTTATTAAAGCTTCATCAGAAAATGAGAAAGGTGAAAAAAAATGAATAAATTCTGTTTGTTTTTATTTATAAGTGGTTTGATTTTTATTGATTAATAACATTCATTCAACAATTTTCATTTAGCTTTTTTTCCTCAAACACCGATTCATCGAGTCGACATTTTATACTAAAAATTGGAAAGAATAAATATTAAATACTCTTTAAAATCCAATATTTTCCTAGATATGTATTTTGAAGTTTCTTAATAAACGGAAGAGGTAATTAACTAAATTTTCTAAAGGTAATGCCTTTACTTAAAACGTTTAAAAATGAATTATCTTTAATCGATAATTTAAATATTTTATATTCTATAAGCTTTTATTAAATTTTGTATAATACATATTTTTAAGTCATTAAGGCGCTACTGAAATAAAAATATAATGAAAACATAATTCATGTTAAATCAATAGGAGAAGAAAAATATTTATTCTAAAGAACATTGAATAACCTTTGTATTTTTGTCTTTCTAATTTGTGTATATCTAAGATATTTTTTATATACTGATATTTTCTTCGGAGTATCATCGTTTTTTTCATATTATAACATGTTTAGAAACATTACAATAGAAAGTATTCTTATTGAAAATGAAATAGTACATGTTTGGCGCGCATTTATAAAAGTGCTTTTCTTAAGGATTTCTTCACGTAAAGTCGGATCATATGGAACTATAGGAAACACTAACTATGAAATATATCGTAAACGTAGTAGTGTTAGAAATCAATTCCAGAGTTTGTCTGCTTCCAGTTGGATAGATTTACTATGAATTTCTCTGGCAAACAGTGCATATACCTAGACTATTGAAATACCTGATAGAAATAAACCATTCCAGGATTTTACTCTTTTAAGGACACGAATTCACGTGATCCGGGCTTATTTTACGAATAAAAAAATTATTTAAGGCTCTACACCGCCAATAAGGTTCTACGTATTGAATAGTATATAGTATAATATTCTATCTACTTAGTTTATTTACTTTTCCTAACGTACTTTTATGAAAAACATTTTTTCGTCTAATGACGGACGCTAAACAGTACTTGGGAACTCTAGACGTGCAGTATATTGGATAAGCGATATTGTGTATAAATCTAGGTTTTAAATAATTCCTTAATATCCTCTGTCTAAACTCGTGTAATCCTCACTGTATATTTACCTTGTTATTTACCCTAATTTTAATCAAAGTTGTATTAAACCTTATCAATTATAATTAAACCTTACAATTCCAATTCTGATGAAAACTGTCACGGGCATCAATTTTTAAAAACATATTTTGTTTATCTATTATTAAATATAATTTATTTATTTAAAATATGGTCGATTCATATTTAAATTTATTCGAATATTAGTGAGTGCCATAGTGTCTTTGTTCTGTTTCAGATTGAAGATTGCCAGTTTTGTTAATGTGTATCACAAGCGAGTTTGATTGGTTGTCTAGGCATAAATCTCTTTTTTATTCGTAGATTCGTGCATTTAGAATTCGTGATGTCTCTTGGGTGTAAATGTTTTTATATTGCAAGCGAATTATGTGATAAGTAATGGCATCTGAATTAGTATTTGCTTTATTTTTCTTTGTAGTTATACCACGGATTATCTTGTACGTAGTTGTAAAGATCGTCATATCAGAGATAACATATTGGTAATATTCTTAATTGTAAACACTTGACGTACTCTCGACTTAAAGAAATATGTTCTTTTTTTTTTTAATGAGGGTGTCATTTGTAAATTCTGATCCATATTTAATCCATATCCATATATATATATATATATATATATATATATATATATATATATATATATATATATATATTGCATATACACAAATAAACACACAGGCATACACATGAACTTTATCAAATCGATCATTGGACGAATTTCATCAGCTAAAATAGGTTTTCTTGTTATGTTATGTTATGTATATATATATATATATATATATATATATATATATATATATATATATATATATATATATGTGTGTGTGTGTGTGTGTGTATTAAAAGGTATAATTTTGAGGTATGCCATATTAATGGGTAAAATGCTCAATATCAGGTATATATAAATTTATTTAATGCCAAGTAAACTGATTATTTCTTAATTTTGAGACCACATTAAATTATAAAATTGTTGTAAACTGTGAGGTGTATGCCAATTTATATGTTAATGTTGTGTTGCATGTTTACAAACGTCAGTCTCCGGTAAAGATATCTTTTGTGAATGAAAAAAAGAGAAGGAGAAAGAGAGAATGCTTTCCTTTACAGAGAGTTGTGCAGAAACTAAATTTGCTTCAGTATTTACTACAACGTATCCATAATATATGCTTGTTCTATTTAAAAA